TAAAGCTGACCTTTGTCAATATGTGTACCAGAAGCAATGACAGACAAATAGAATGCAAAAATAAACTGCAATCATTAAAAAATAGACTATTTTGAAAAGGAGTATGGAAGCACTATAAAGAACAAAATCAAGTAGAGGCAAAACTAGCTGTTTGCCAACTGAACTTGTGAATGCCCTTATCTCACTGAGCCTTGGGTTTTGTTATTAAAACACATTTCTCATGGAAGCCCTTACATAGCACCATAGCAGGGGGGCTGAGCTATTCCCAGTGCAGTACTGGTGCACTAGGGAGGTATTATTAGCAGAGGCCAGGGAAGGCTGCCACACTACTGTAGCTACCATCCAAACATCATCAACAGCAAAGGGCATTTCCCCAGCCTGATCCAGGCCTGTGGCTCCTGCCAGCTAGGGTAAACGGCTGGTCTGCAAACAGCAGTGGGACTTTCCAGGACATGTGCTGGGGTGAAGGTGGCTTCTGGACGGACTACAGCAGGGAGTAGAGACATCATCTCTCTAAGGTCCCCTTCCACTGGTGTCCACATGGTCCAGGAGCCCACAGGCATCATGGATTCACTTGGTATCCTGTCTGAAGGCAGCACCCCATCATCCCTTGAGCACAGGCAGGGCTAGACAGTAGCACCCAGCTTTGAGGCACTGCTGCTATTTAGATGTTACAGATAAAAAAAACCAAAAAACTCTTCTTCTTCCTCTCCCAAACAAACCCAAGAATCCCTGTAACTTTTGGGGAAGAACTTGAGAGAAATGTGGGGATATATCACAGAATTCACTACGGGCTACTCATAAATGGCAAGGAACTTCTGCCCCTACACACTTCTAAAGGGATGATTTGCAGAAAAGCATCCTACAAGCTCAAGCCTCTCTCCTGTTCACACTGAGGAGCTTTGATTCATGAAGGAGACCTGAAGTCACTCAGTGGGAATGGTTGCACCCAAGCAGACCCTTTCTGTCCTCTAACAGAGGCCAAGTGCTCTGCAGCGATGACTGACTTACTTGTGACTCCTCCACAGGACACAGCAGCTGCCACTTTAGCACATTAACATATAATCACCCCAATTTCAGCTTAGAGGCTGAAAATAAGAGCTTATGAGTCATACAGCAACTTCTACTGGGAAACTGGGACAGATGGAGGGAGCAGAAACCAATCCTACCACCTGATTTCCATTTCCTCTGTCTGCCGGGCAGAGATGTCTCTCTACCTTATTCCCAGAAAAGCACTCACATTCTTCACAAATCATGGATGTATTTTATCTGCCCATCCTCTCCCTAGCAGGGTGGGAAGGGCTGCTGATGTCAGCTCACAGAACTGAGGCACAGCAACAAGAATTGCTGTACTTGGACGACTCACCTTTGCACCCTGGCTGTGTTGAAATATCTATGAATTTCTGGAAGGAGCTGAAGCTATTCACAAAAGTTCTCTCCAAACCTAGCTATCCACTGAATAGTAAGAGGTGACAAGTAAATTCAAGCCACTATCAGGTCCTTGAACAGAGGAAGTACAAAGTTAGTGGGACATGGATGAAGCTGACCAGACTTACCATGGGTGGGAAAAGCAAAAACTATGCAAAACCCTCTGCAACCTTTGAGATTTCTGTTTGAGAGTGAAAAGTGATCTGGAGGTGCACACCCCTTCCAACACCCTACTCCTTATAGGACTGAGCTGTCTCTCCCAAAAGCCTGATGGGTCCTACTCTCTTCCCTGTAAGTTTCCAGGACCAGCTTCTTCCTTCTGCTCTCCAGCAAGCAGCCTGCTACTGCGTATTTACAGCCAAAGTTAACATAAGCTATGTTCCTGGTGGGAACACAGAAGCAGCTAGTTTCTGAGAAAAATCAAGGGGAACACGTCACTCCTAGCATTGGAGATGGAGCTTGCCAGGGTTCCTCAGGGTTATTTGTCTTGTTGTCTGCTCCCAGGAAAGCTGGCACAAAGCAGCCAATCCACCCCCAGCATCCACCCCACTCCCCTAAAACACCCACCAGCAAGTTGGGCAAGAGACACTGCCTCAACAGCCAGTGCCTGGTCCCAGGACAGCTGGCTGCAATGTATGGGTTTCCCTAGGAGCTATGGAAGAAGTTGCAAGAGACACTACTGCTGCCAACAGCAAGAGGTCAGGATCTCTGGACTTCTACTTCAAAAAGCGAAGTCCAAGGACTCACTTAATCAAAGCAATACTTCAATCAGTGAATGAATCCCACAAAGAATGCTATCTGAATGCCTCAGAGATAAAAGCTGCATATTCAGGCATTTGAATAACAGTATATAATATGAATCATAGTTCAGGGTCAGTTAAGCCAGTTGGACTGTGCTGAAAGCCAAGGTGTCCTGCACATTCCTCTGCTATGAGTAAAGTCAGGATCTGGCCTGAGGTTGGTTCCTCTCTCCTCAAACTCTTTAAGAGCTTTCAAGGATTTTGTGTTTAAACTAGAAGAAGTATAATGTCAACTGAGGAACCCACTGTTGCAACAAAAAGCCTAAGCCAAGGAGCCAGGAGATTTCTAGCAGGTTAGCACACAATGAGCTGCAGCTCCACCATGAGCTCTGATTATCTTACCACCCCCAAGGAAGTTTTTTCTGGGAGTAAGTTATTTGGGGTTTGTTTGTTTGTTTGTTGGTTGGTTTTGTTTGTTTGTTTAATTGCAGCTTGTCTTAATTGTCTTGTGGAACCCTGTCCCACAGAGGTAAAAGGGTACTAGGGCAGGAATTAATGGGACTCATTGATAGGGCTTTAAACTAGGTTGGAAGGGAGTGGGGGAAAAAGCCAGGCTTTTTACAGATGAGCGTAGGGGTAGTATGGTGGTCAGGTCAGCTAGTCAGGCAGCCTTACTGAAGGCCCAGCTTAAATTCCTTTATACAAATGCACACAGCATGGGGAATAAACAGGAGGAATTAGAGATGAGGGTGAGCCTGCAGGGCTATGATCTCACTGGCATCCCTGAGACCTGGTGGGATGCTTCCCATGACTGGAGCATCAGAATGGAGGGTTATAAACTCTTTAGGAAGGACAGACAAGGGAGACGGGGTGGGGGTGTTGCTCTCTATGTCAAAGACCAGCTCGAGTGCATGGAGCTCTGCCTGGGGATGGATGAGGAGCCAACAGAGAGCTTATGGGTTAAAATTAAAGGGAAGAAACACCAAGGTGACATCATGGTGGGGGTTTGCTACAGGTTGCCTGAGCAGGAGGATAATATAGACGAGGCACTATATAGACAAATAGGAGCAGCTTCACATTCACAAGCCATGGTCCTCATGGGAGACTTCAACCACCCTGACATCTGTTGGAAGAACAATTCTGCTAAACACAAACAACCCAGGAGGTTCCTAGAGTGCAAGGATGATAAATTCTTTCTCCAAGTTATCAAGGAACCAACAAGGAGAGGTGCTGTGCTGGATCTTGTCCTCACCAATGAGGAAGGGCTGGTGAGGGATGTTAAGCTCAAGGACAGCCTAGGTTACAGTGACCATGAAATGGTGGAGTTCAAGATCCTTAGGGCAGCAGAGGGCTCACAGCAAGCTTACTACCCTCAACTTCGGAAGGGCAGATTTCAGCCTCTTCAGGGATCTGCTCCAGAGAGTTTCTTGGGATAACACCCTGCATGGTAGAGGGGCCCACGAATGCTGGTTGATGTTTAAGGATCACCTTCTCCAGGCCCAAAAACGATGTATCCCAACTAAGAGGAAGTCAAGTAGAAAATCCAAGAGGTCAGCATGCCTGAGTAAGCAGCTCCTAGAAAAGCTCAAACTTAATAAGGAACGTGGAAGCTAGGGCAGGTATCCTCTGATGATCTTTAAGGTCCCTTCCAACCTTAATCATTCTATGATTAATACTTGAATAAAGCTTGGGCATGCTAGAGAGACAGCTCGCTTTGAGATAAGCTACTAACTTGATGGGACATCAGGCCTGACCATATTGGTGAGGGACATAAATCTAATCACAAAGTAAGACATTTCAGGCAGTTTGCTGCTGCTCCTCTGACAAAAGTTACCATGCCCAAGCTGGGAAACACACACATAACAGTGCTGAAACTAAGTTCAGCAGCTTTACCTAAACTGCTAGTAAAGATGAACTTCAGTTAACAGTTTAATATCAAAATAGCCACAGGGAAGACACCTGAGCATTTGGTGAAGAGGAGTTCATCTTCAGAAACCTTTCACCTTCTACCTTTCAACATCTTCTGATATTGCTAGATTATTGCTTCATAAGCCAGAGAATATGGACTTTTCCTCCCATTTATGCACCAGTGCTTCCAAAGCAAAAGCTGCACCATGCCTGACTTGGGTTTACTTACCTCTGTACATGCCAAAGTAGCCTTCCAACCGAATTGTTTTAATGAGGCAGTCAGACCTGCAAACAAAACAGAGACAGATAAACCACAGGAGTTCAAAGGTGGGTGAGAGCAGAAAAAAGAAATCTATTGGAATGGTTTTCATTTGTAAATGTCAGCAAAACCCTGAGTCAAGAAGGGAACCACATCAGCCACTCAATGTGCCATTGAGGCCTAAGGCCAATTTCAGCCCCTAATTCACAGAGGTTCTGAAACCCCTGGCTCACCCCACACATGCTGTCTGCATTCTAGAAACACAGGAGGGAAAAGTGTCCCTGCAAGGGCTGTTTATCCAAGGTCTCCTGTAGCAAACGCACATGAGATGCTCTAACAAGCAGATCCCTGTGCACGTTTTTAAATCCAGCTCTGAATGGAAAATAAAAGGGGAAAAACTCCTAATGCTGACTTCCTTGACCTGTTCTGTAAAATTTGATACAAAGCACACAGATACCAGATGACCTGAAACTCAGTCACCTGGGACCTCCCATGAAGATTAAAGCACTTTTAACGTATCTGGTCCCACAGCAGGCAGCAAGCACTCAGGCTCCCAGCTTGGGGAGAGAACAGCTGCAGAAGTTTGCTACAAGGGGAAAACTATTGCCTTCTTTGTTTCAACTGCATTTACTGCAAAAGGGAAAACTACAGAGAGTTTGAATGGCTCAAAGCCTTTTGAGGGCACAAACACACACCTAACAAAGCCAGAGATGCAGTTCAGGCAAGCAGCGCAGGTCACCTGGCAGAGCCTCCCTCTCTGAACCATGACCACATGAAGCCCAGGTGGTGCTTGAAGGTTGCTCTGGGGTCTTCGTGAAGGGAAAGGTACTTGCTGTGGCCATAAGGGAAGGGAGGAGAGGTGCACATGCATGCTTGCATATGTAATTAAGAAACAAAAGGCACTTCTAAGTGGTAATAAGGGAAGTGCAGCTGATGAAAATAATAATACATTTCTAAGAGATTTGGCAATGCAAGGAGTAAATTTCATTTTTGCTCTGTAATAGTGCTAAGGTGGGAGAGAAGGAAATACAGAGTTCTCTTGAGAGCCTTATGACACTGCTTGGGTCAAGACTGTTCTAGAGTACTCCATATTACTTGTGAAGAGCCCATCCTGCCAGTCACAGCAATGAGTTTCCCCTCTCTGCTAGGACTCCCTGCATCCTTTGGGACCTTTCACACACCCCACCCCAGCTCCTGCAGTTTGCAAACACTCATCTCATCTCATTCTTGAGAGCAGCCCCTCAAACACACTTGCAAGCCCCAGAATCTCAGGGCACCTTTCTCCTTATCCCCCCCGTCAAGCTCTTCCACTGCAATGCTGGAGGCAAGGCATTTTCCCCAAGCCAGTGGTGCTGCTTTGAACAAGCCACAGCAGCGAGGGGAGCAGGAAGAGCTGCTCCCCACCATGCTCATGCAGCCCTGCTGCCTCACCCTTGCATGGCACTCACAGCCCCTCAAGCTGCAGCAGAGCAAGATGGAGCCAAGGTGATGCCCATCTCCTTTCTCTGCCTGGAAAAAGGGAGCGAAAAGACAACTTAAATAATATATAACATACCTGGGACAGCACAGCCCAAAAGTCCATCTCTTTCCAGCCCTCAGGGCTGCTCCAAAGTGCCTTTGGCTCTTTCAACAGAAAAACTCCCCTGATGCCAAAGGTCTCTTGAGCTAAGCAGTAGCAAGGCACTCTGTCTTAAAGCAAGACAGACAAAATTTTTAATAAACTTGCTGCCTTTAGCAGGCACTTTTGAGATCTGGTATTGATGGGCATATAGCATTTCCCAAAAAATAAGTCCCTCAGACAAGGGAACTCAGACCAGGCCTCTCAAATCCCTAGCTAATATAAGGGCGTCTCTGAAGACATGTTCTGTGCACAGTAACAGCATCCTCTTAGTGCTCTTCCCATGCTTGTTTAGGTAGGACACAGGATGCTACCTAGAGGATGTGTTACCCCTCTTACTTCCTTATCCCTGCTGGCCCCTCAGCCTCCGAAAGACCCTTTCACTTATCCCCACCAGCCCAAGCTTACTTTCCCAACAGCTCCTACCAATGCCAGAGGAACACCTCCAGCATTACTCATTCACACCTGGACTTTGCCATGGACTTTGAAGGAGTCAGCTCAAATATACAGGGTAAATCCTCTGTATTCCTTAACTGTGCCTCATCCCACAACTCCTGGCTATAGAGCAGATCTACACTCAACTGCTTGAGACTAAAAGCCTCTCTCCTACTGAACACCCCCTTCAGAGAAAAGGCATCCTGGCATGCACTCCCAAGCAGGCCCTACAAACCCTCTGTCCTGCCCAAACTCTTGTTGCTGTTGCTCATCAGGTCAGAGGGAAGAAGTAATGCTCAGGGAGAAGTCATCCCCAGCAGTGACATGAGCAGGACACAACAAAAAGGACAAGCAAGGCAGAATGGGAGACCATGTCCTTCCAGTATGCCTGGGTACACAAACGCAGGGAGCAGAGAGTGCTACCAGCCTGCCACAGCACACCAGCACCTGTGACCTAAGCTCATGCATAGTGACATGTCACCAACTAGAGCAAGGAGTCTTGGGGACTAAAACCATCAACATATAGAGCATTTCCTTCCTGTTCCCCCTCAGCCTCAAATTCTCCTGGGCAGAAAAGAGGAAAACATAATCGTGGAGGAGTATGGAGCAGATTACACTACTTCTGAACAAAGCAGCAGCACAGGACACACATAACCAGACCTATTGCCTTCTCCCTCCTCAATGACAGCAGTACTTTTGGAAAATTAAGGCCTGACTCTGGCTCCTAGAATAAAGCATCTTCTGCTGAGTGTGGTGCACATTCCCACAGCAGATACACAGCCCTGAGCATCCCACAGAAATCACAGGGGAATTTGGTCAGCTGTATATACTCATGCCTTCTTTTCTTGCAGCCTGCAGCACTGGATATTTCTGAACACAGCATTGTGACTGCTTCCTCTTTTTAAAACTGACACAGAAAAGGCAGTGACAGCCACTTCCAATATGAGAGTCACGGAAACAAGAGCGGCAGAAATTCCCTCATGCAGCTGCCTGTGGCCCAGCAGAGAACTGAATGGGGCTCCTTGTGTTTTGGACCTGAGCAAATATAGTGCTCCAAAGCAAAGGATGCAAACAGATGTGTCCTCTGCAGAGATCTCACCAGCTGGGCTCAGCAGCCTGAATAGTTGCTTTATTTGCTTTATCTGCTCTAGCTTGTTTCAAGATTGTACCCTGGCTTTCCTGGAGACAGCCCAGTTACTAGAAATGCTGAAGTCGCCTGGAAGAGGTAACAAAGTGGAAGGACTTCCTGCCAAAAGCCCCAGGTGATGCTGCCTGTGTGGGGGATACTCACATGCTGGTGTACATCCGCTGGCCATTCTGCTGGTTCTGCAGGCGAGTTTTTGCCAGGTCAATGGGAAATACACAGGTGACTCCAATCAGTCCAGCAATCCCTCCATTGATCAGCTTGGCAGGTAAACTGTAAGGGGAGAAGATGCAGAAAAGTTCCTTAGTACTGGGATAATATTGGGAGAGGAAAAGAGGGAAGCATGGAGTTCTTCTGCATGACCAGAGTTAATACATAACTGTTTGACAAGGCTGGCTGCCCCCCAGCATGACAGGAGCTCTGCCTCAGGGCAAAGTTTGGCCATTGTTGTATATGCAGGGCAGGAAGGGAAAGCAGCACACAGCACCACGGCAAACCACTGATGAATGGAATGGAGCCAAAGAGCTGAGCCACATATTGCTAACAGCAAGGAAAAACCCTCCTCCCCAGGACCCAAAGGTTTCCTGACATGTCAGCTGCTACCATCATGTGGGAATGAGCCCAGCAGAAGCACCCAGCTGGCAGCAGAGTAGCAGAATGGCTACATCTCCAGGAAACTGTTTCCAGACCCACCGCCCAGGGCAAGGGGAACACACACGAGCAAATAGCCCAGCAAAACCACTGGACTGGCAGTCTGCACAGCCACAGATGCAGAGTGGTGAGCTCATACCTGTCAGGGAAAACAAAACCTGGCTGGCTGTATGTGCTTCAAACATGGGTTTTTTTCTGCTCACCCGTGTGTTCCCTCAGGGAATTCTTGCAAGAGGCGCTAAGTGAAAGCTAGAAAAGCTGAACATGGGTTCCTAGCAATTTCAATTACAAGAAACATCCAGCACTTACATGCTTGATACACCACTACACACCAAAACAAAGGAAGCCTGTTGAGTCAGCTCCTTCCAGTAAAGCACAGGGTATGGCTGATGATGTGTTAGACATTAACTTGATGGCTGACAGCAGTGCTAGATTGCATCTGGGTGAGTCTGCAAGGCTGAGTCCTCCCACAAGGGGAAGAGGATGCTGCCTTTCATGATGGTGCCATGATGCTCTGAATGGAGGTACAGGCTACACTACACACTGGAAGAAGCAGCTGTGAGGCTGTTTCTTGCCACGGTGGGGTAAAGCTCTGCAAGAACATTCCCCACAAACATGTTCACCCCCCAGCAACACCACAGAGCATGTGCATTGCAGAGCACCTCCTTATTTTACTCACAGTCACACTAAAAGAGGAGGTTAGAGACTAGATAGAAGTGTGTAAAAATGGAGGCACCACTGGGAAGGAGGGTGTTTCAAGACAGGATCACAACTGCCTCACCAAATTCAGCTCTGAAGTCACTGCTAGTAGGTCACTGCCAGCAAAACTAGTGCCCCTTTTCAGCCTCAGCACTGTCATTACTCCTCTAAGTGTCCCTGAAACACCTGGGGCAAGCAGACACTTGCCTCTCTCAACAGCAAAATCATCACAGAGTTTACAAGAGGTGAGAGTGAGAGACAGACACTTAGCAAAGATCTTGCCTGCTGGCAATGTAAGTGCAAAAGATTTCCCAATTTCAGCACAGACCCTGGCAATAAAGGAGAACAATCTAGTGTGCCTGGGCATGACAAAAACTTTGGTAACGTGGGCTGCAAACAGAGCCTCTCGCTCCGTTTATGGCTGAAAAACCCTTGCTCACCACTCCATCACACCTGAATCCAACCATCCACATTCCCCCATGCACACTGAAGAGGTATGCTAGTACACCAGACTATGTGGCAGTATCTGGCAAGATGCTGAGATCAAGTTGAAGATGCATTGCTGCAGAAATGCAAGGCCCTTGATTTCACCTTGCAACAAACTGCTGCTTTGGATCTTAGTCTTTTGCTATCAATCTCATTTTGCTAAGGGATAACAGATGCACACTACAAGGGAAGAGGGGTTTGGTAAATCTTTCAAGCTTAAATAGATCTGCTTGGTTTGGCTGCCTGTGACCACTGCAGATTTGTGGTCATATAGATGGGAGAGATGACTCAAGCAGAATAGGTGAGGGATTTGGGCACAGAAAGGAACCTGAGACAAAGGGCACTGTATCCAAATCAAAAGCTTTTTCCCTTGTGACTAAGTCATCCCACTTTTCACCTCAGTGCTCTCTGATCTCTCATGGGATGATAATCCACTGTGTCTGGTCTCTCTGTCCTATTTAGCTTCTGCACAGCTATTGCCTTTCACTATCTAGGTGTGCAGGGCTTAGTGAAATGGGGACAAAACAGGCTACCATGCAGATAAAATGATTTGCTCAATTTAACATGAGAAGGGATAGAAAGGCATCCCAGTTCTCCTAATGCTCTTCCTCAGCCTTTTTAACTAGTCCCCGTAGCCAGCAAGCTCCTGTTTACACTGCCAAGAGGACATCGGAGGGGCTGGGGGATGCATCTCCCCTTCCTTCAAAATACCAAACTTCAAATGGCCTTGGACATCTTTTTGCTCTGCTGAGGCTATCAGGGACATACAGCCATCAGGTTTAATTGAGGTGAATCTCAGCATGCCCTTCATGGGTGTAACAGAAGCATGCCAAGAGGTCTCCAAATTGGGTAACTGCTGACAAGCAAATCTAGATACGTAAACACTCCACAATGCTGGTCTCGTTATCAGCACAGCTCAGGACCATGTTCGTTTGCAGAAGGCAGTCATGCAGGAAGACATTCTAATCACAGCAAATGCTAAAAAGGGGCAGCCCTCTTGCATGCAGCATTCAGGCATTGCCAAATTGTGGCCCTCTGTCACCAGTTTTTATTCACCCACTGACCACTCCTGTCTTGAGCTGGTAACCTCAAAAAGCAAAAATTAGAAGACAACCACAAAAAATTCCAGAGGAATCCCACAGCATCTATGAGTCACCTGAGGCAACTTCAGAAAAAGCAGGAAGTTAAACCCACATGCAGGACTGTGAAGATCCACCACACACAGCTTTTAGGAAGCAAAGTGTACAACTGCATCCAAATAAATTTCCAGGGAGGACTTAAATTCAGCTTTTGCATATGCCAGGACCAATTCTCTTAAGTTCCTGCTGTGTGTTTAAGTGTCACTAATTATTTTTGGTACTTCATGTTCTTGCAGTCACTCAAGCATTTACTGGCTTTAGAAGAAGGGCACAAGGCTTCAACCACATGGACTTTGTAAGTACAAACATTGCATCCTCGCATGGATGGGAGCTGCCTTTGCCCCCTTGATGTCAGCAAGCTGAAGTCAGCAGGTCAAGCTGACCTTTGAAAGGGGAAGCAAAAAGGAACACACTTGTGCAGGGTAAAAGCAGAGGGCAGAAAGAAAAAGGCAGGGAGAAAAAAGAATGGAAGAAAGCAGAGATGTGACAACACAGCAAAGACGGAAAATAAGAGGTCAAAAAAAAGGTAAGAAAGGAACAGAGAAGGAATCAGAACTCTTTAAGGCCAGAAGAGATGATCAGGTGATTTCCTTCAACCTCCTGTTTCACAAAAGGGATTAAATTTGGGATTAAGTTTGAAAGACTTTAAAAGAAAAATCTAAAGCACAACCAACAACTCAAAAATTTTAAGAAGTTACCTGATCTGTTTATCAGCCATTTAAATCAAACTTGATCTTGTTAGGAAATTAATCTTTTTCTTCAAATTGTTCCTTAATTTCTGTTCCAGTCACTTGTTTTTCACTTCAGTTTATTCCTGGGAAGAAGGGAAGACACCAAGAAGACAATGTTGAGACAGTTACACTTGTCCTGAAGCTCAGGTCATATTGAGCAGGCTGCAGGGTGAAGCCAGCCAAGGACCATCTGCTCTTCTCAGACTCAGCTCCAGAGTAAAAACACATATGAAGGGAAAAGCTGCCAGAGTCATGAGGCTCCAGCAGCATGTGAGAAAGGGCAGTTCACAAGCAGTGCACAAGGTCTGCCAGGAGAGCAGAACATATCACAGCTCTCTTGAACTCCAGGGACCATTTCACACTGTACCATGTGGACATCTGCAGGTCCACCTAGCCACCCCAACACAATCAATCAACTGCCATCACAAGACCTGGGTAGCATTTCCCTTCAACGGTCTTCAAAACTGTGATCCTCCAGTGGTGTCATGGTTTAATCCCAGCTGGCAACTAAGCACCACACAGCTACTCGATTACTCCATGCACAATGGGGTGGGGAAAGAAAATAAATGTAATAAAAGTGAAAAAACTTGTGGGTTGAGATAAAGAGAGTTTATTAGGTAAAGCAAATGCCGTGCACACAAGCAAAGCAAAACAAGGAATTCATTCACTACTTCCCAATGGCAGGCAGGTGTTCGGCCATCTCCAGAAAAGCAGGGCTTCATCACACCGAAGACAAAACACCATTTCTCCAAATGTCACCTCTTTCCTTCCTCTTTCCTCAGCTTTGCATGCTGAGCATGATTTCACATGGTATGGAATATCCTTTTGGTCAGCTGGGGCCAGCTATCCCAGCTGTGTCCCCTCTGAGCTGCTTGTTCATCCCCACCCTACTCACTGGTGGGATGGTATGACAAGCAGCAAAGGCCTTGGCTCTGCGTAAAAACTGCTCAGCAGTAACTAAAACATCTCTGCATTATCAACACTGTTTTAGCACAAATCAAAAATATAGCCCCATACTAGCTACTATGAAGAAAATTAACTCTATCCCAGCCAAAATGAGCACAACTGGTTATAATCCTGCCTCTATTTCTAGCCCAACAGACAGCCCTACTCAGCCTTGTGCCAACATTGTCTTTTAAGTTGTACCTCTTCACTTCCTTTGGGAGCGATCTGACTTTGCTCTTTGGACCAATTCCTCCAGCTCAATGCCTTCCTGGCACAGCACTGAGCCTCCAAATTTGCATGAAATGGTTCTCTCTAAGACTCCCAACTGCTACTGTTTAACAACAGCTGGTAGAAGTCACCACACAAAGAAATCTGGACACCAGAGAAAATTTCAGAAGTGCATACAACATTCAGCTTTCTGGAGGTGTTCCTGTCTCCTCTTCCTCACCTCCAACCTGGGAATCAGTTGCCCCATGCTTTTATCAGACAACTCAGCAGCACTCAGCTACTTTCCTCCCTCTCCCCTTCCAGCTACCAACTGGGTGGCAAGCCAGAAGCAGAGGAAGTATATTTGCTATTTGGCTCTGGAATGAAATTTGCCCTTTAACTGCAGATTTCCTAAACCACACAGAATCTCACATCCAACAAGGTGGCTTTCAGGCTGACACTTCTGCTCAGGAGATACTATACTACCTGAGGGCCAGAAGCATTCCTGAGAATGAAAGGTCTCTGAACGTGTAAAGAGCTGGTAATGGTGCTAACAGGTACAGGAAGAAAAGAAGGTGAGGTTATACGCACAGTTCAGCACTGACCTGTTCCCCAGCCTGTACTGAGGAAACTGGCAGAAGTGCTCATCAAGACACTTTCCATAATTTACCAGAAGTCCTGGGTAACTGGGGAAGTCACAGTTGACTGGAGACTGGAAAACATGACCAACATCTACAAGCAGGGCTGAAAGGAGGATCCAGGGGACTACAGGCCTATCAGTCTGCTGGGGAAGGTGATGGAGCAGATAATCTCTAGTGTCATTATGCACCACATGCAGAACAACCAGGTGGTCAGGCCCAGTCAGCATGGGTTCACAAAGGGCAGATCCTGTTTCACAAACTTGATCTTCTTTTATGATAGGGTGACCCATTTATTGGACAAGGAAAGGGCTGTGCATGTAGTCTATCTTGACTTTAGCAAGTTGCACCAGGAGAGGTTTAGTTTGGATGTTAGGAAAAAATTATTCACTGAAAAGGTTATCAGGCACTGGAACAGGCTGCCCAAGGCAGTGGTGGAACCACCATCGCTGGAGGTATTTAAGAGTCATATAGATGTAGTACTCAGGGATATGGTTCACTTAAGGACTTGTCAGTGTTAGGTTAATGGTTGGGCTTGGTGATCTTTGAGGTCTTTTCCAACCAAGGTAATCCTGTAATTCTGTAATGTGCCAAAGACAGAGCAGCATGAATGTATCTGCACAGTCCCATGCTTGGATGACATGACACTAAAACTGCCTTTTCTGCAATCTCACACTAAGCCAAAGCCATGGCAGACCAGCAGAGGAAAAAAGCTGCTCTCCAAAACACCACACAAAAACCTCACCCACTTTGCTACACTACTAAACCTTCCATCTCTTCTGTGAGCCCTCTTCAGACAGTTTACCTGATCTCAACTAATCTGTGGAAATAGACCTCAAAAATCTCTAGATCAGCTAGGTCTGAACTTTCTGAGTGAAAACTGCTTACACCTTTCACTGCATGTGCTTTCACATGCATGTGCACAAGAGCAGTTTGTTTCAGGTTAATCTAATTCTGTATCAATTTAACCAACGTAAGACTAGAATATAAAAGTATAGTGAGACCAGTTGCTTATATCCAGTAATCCTGGTATAAACAAGCCCTGAACCATGAAAACTCGGTTGATAACATCTATATACCCTCAACAGGATATTTGAGTTTACTGAGGCAGTCAGTCTGACAATACACATACATCAAGTGGTCTATATACATGCTCCAAGCTCTTGCAGACTCTCCCCTTCTTGCCCCTGCTACATGCTTATCTATGGAGGGGCATTCGTGAACCCAGGCATCCACCACAAAGAGCAACACAAGAGAAGACAGAAACGCTGCTCATATTCATCACTGACAGGTAGTCAACAGAGTGAGAGATCGAGACGGACACACAAATGTATCATAGGGCTGTTTCTTACCTGCTGACACAAGTAGGGTGATGGGGGTAGGAGAAGATGTTACAGAACCAAGAGGGCCATAGACAGCTGGGTTTAGCCCTCTCCTCCCTTTTTTCATCTGACTTTTGTCTTTAGCCCTCCACCTGGCCAGTAACTGCAGAGCCCTCCCCAGATACTGGGCCCACAGGAAAACTGCTGCTGTTTCCCACAGGGGAACAGATTCTCCTGCTGCAGCTGCACAACAGGAAGGGGTAAAAACAACCTTTGGGGGTTTAAAACCGGGCAAAGTTACAGGTTTCCCTGGTGCTGGCTGTACAACCAGCAAATGCCATGACTAGTATCATCTCCCCTAACAAAAGCTACTCAAAACACTGACAAGAGAGGGGAAGCAAACGATGTGATCACTTTACAGCAGACACCAGCACTTGATAACTGTTTATACAGCACCTGGCACAGCAGAGGCCTGAATGTCTGTAGCCAGGGGATTTTAATGTGTTAAGGGATTTTAATGCACTGAAGTGGAAAGCTTATTTGAGTTCTGTTTGTTTAAACAGAGCTTCGGTGAATGACCATTTGCAAAACAAATGTGAAGTCACTGCAAACTCTATCTGAGCACTATGCTGTAATCTGCAGAACAGCCTGAGTTCTTTAAAAGATGGTGATTGATGAAGCCACATCAGCCACACCAGCACACTGACCACGGATTTTCTGGGAAGAGCCAGACCCCTGGGCAGGAAAATAGCTGCTGCAGTCCTGCAGTCTGAGAGGCGGAAAAACGCACGCTGGGAAGAAAATTACAGTAATTTTACAGGATATTTTAAAAACAAAACCAGAAAACATTATGCATTTCACCTAGACTGGAAAAAGAGTAAGTAAAGAACTAAGTATATTCCCCCAGGAATAGAGCGCTCTCAGGAGCAAACAAAAAAGCATGCAAGCAAAGCCTATGCAGCCAAGCAGGGGTGTGGCTCCAGGGCTTCCCATAGGAGCGAGGTCAGGGAATAGGGCTTGAATCTTCCCAGGAAACCTCCCATCAGCACCTGCATTGGGGCAGCAGACAAGCCAGCAACACCAAAAAGGTGCTGATGCCTCAGAAAGTCTTTGTATACTTAAACTTCACAGCCAGGTGGACAATGGTGCTGCTGGAACTGGGAAACCCCATAGCACAAGGAACAGAGGAGCCAAGAGGAAACTGGTAGTGGGAGCGCAGAGGAAACAAGAGCCACCAGAGACTCGCCTCCAAGCTGGATAGGCTGAGGAGCCCTCTCAGAAGGGGGGTTCTAAATCAAACATCCCATAATTAAGAGAGAGAAAGAGCTGCACAGGTGATAAATTACATGGAGTTAATTCCTTCCTAGAGTGCTGTTAGCACAGCTAGACATGGATTAATGCCCCATTACTCACACACTGGGATATCCTTTCTACATTTATTAAAATGATGAAGCAAATTAGTTTCAGAGCAACACGTACACTGCAGCATAGGGAACTGCCTCCATGCTAGGCAGAGAAGCAGTGCAAATGGCCTGAATCTCATCCTGCCCAAGAGCCTCTTGAACCCGCCTCTCCCATTTCCCAGCTTCCAATCCAGCTCCAGAGAGAGACAGAGCAGTTAAATTGAGAGTACCACAATGCAAACTAGCCAGTTTGGATGTATCTGGTCCTCACAGCCTTAGTCACTGGCAAAATGCTGCTACTTTACTTTTTACTTTTGCTATTTTACTGTCTTGCCACAGACCACACAAACACTCATTACCTATGCTACCCAGACAGTAAGGTTTCCTCCAGGATGGCCAGCCTTTGCATACTGCATCACTTTCTTTCACAGCACAAACATATTTGAGGGTGTGGACACCCTGCCAAGCTCTGCTAAAGACTGAAACAAAGCTGGTGTTGCAACAATGTTTATGGATTGCAAACAGAGCCGCAAATAATTCCTCTGCAGTGGTGCAACAGGACAGCACAG